TTTCGACTCGTCTCAGAATGGAATACTGTGCGAAGGGTGGTGATAGGGGCGGGGGTAGGAGTCCTTACGAGCCTTCTAAGGCTGATGATCGAAATGGGGATCGCAAATTTCGTGGAAAACTGCGAACGCGACGGTTGACCGTGAATAACGCTGACCCGTTTGCCCACTTTTATCGCGTGCTACTTACGCGGCAATCCATTCGGTACATTAGTCCAACCTGAACTGGTAGATATGGACACACTGCAACGTAGCATATCGTTGGATGAGAGCGAGGGGATGAAAGCAATGTCGCTCGAGTCATCTGTTGCTCACGCGGCACGCGGCTCGCGACAAAAGTGAGCAGCGCGGTATTTGTGACCAATTGGCTCACACTTGTAACACAGCCGCTCAGAGTTCGTCAGTGGAGTCGCGGTGGTTGATAACTAGACCTCGTTGGGGAAAACTTGGGGATTCCGATTGAGTTTCTATGAATGCCCGTTTCCCGTGAAAAAAAGCACCAAGACTGCTGCAGAAATTGGAAGTTTCGCCAAAAACCAAGAGAAAATATAGAAAAATTGATTCTCACCTTCAACACAGAGAATTTTTCTGTCTTTTTAGGGTTTGAAAGCGAATACACGGCTACTTCACCATGATTATTCACAATCGCTGCGAAACTTTCACAATTAGAGAGATCTAAAAAGCACAAAGGTTATTTCTCAGACATACTTCTATAATACAGATGCAAGACAGAATTATGTGTTCCTACCATTCACATTATGAAGAGTGACAATAGATGCCTTCCGAATTCGTAGTCCCTCGACGCTTGTTAGCTTTACCTTATAACGCGACGGTTTGAGGCTTGGCAAATAGAAACTTCTGATCTGCTCCTCTGTGAAAATGATTAGACGAGCTGAGGACGCCTGCTAAATAATAAATAATCTAGATAATAAATATAAATGATTCTGAACAGTCACCTTCAGATAATATTATTTTGTGAAGTCTCAAAGACAAATTTTTTCTTAGAATATAAAAAATGATGCCGAATGCCGGAGGAACGCTTACCCTTGTTCCTGGTTCCAATATAACGTCCACATGGATTATGGGAGCCCCGTGCCGTAGAGTAATGGTTCTCAGCTAAATTGAAAGATTGAAACGGTTTCTTCCAAAACCCAAAACACCCAAGAAAAAGACAGGTACAAAATTTACTCACCAACTTACACACGTCCTCAGCTCGTGGTTGGTCTGTAATCGTATATATCACTAGCTTCCCACCATTCGTTCCCACCACAAACACATCACATACCTATTAGGGTGAAATTCAGTGGAAAATCCAAAACAAAAAAATAAAAAAAAGCAAAACACTACGAGAATTTGAGGATTAGATAAGCGAGACAAGAGATCGAACATACCCCTGCTATGCCCATTGCTGGAACAGAAAGGAATTTAAGGCAACGAATGAACCATGTAGGGGATTCCACTGAAATCATAACAGTAAAATATCATAATCAAATCATGTGATACCATGAAAAAAAAAAGGTTAGCTTTCATCAAAGCAGATTCACCAACACTCTCGAGATAAGGTGGTGTGAAATATCCAAGATGTATCTCCATAGATTTCATCATTTAAACATTACAACGAGCTTTTAACAACAATAAGAGCTTTTTTATTTTCATTACAATTATTTTCA